TCGTCAACAGACCGCCTCACAACTCGATCAGCGTAAGACCGCACTGAATCGAACCACAACTACGAAAAACTTCCACGCTACACGAAACCCTTGCCGCATCTGTCCAAGCAAAAATATACAAATGTGTTCTCCCTAAGCTGTACAATTTATACACCTATCGTAGTGACCACTGTCGTGCCGGTGACGTCACTCAGTCTATTCACAGTCCAATCCTAAATCCTTAAAATGATTATCCGGATTCCTACAACTGTTGCAACTCAGTCGGCGACCTCCGCGAGGGCTCTTCACTTGTTCGCTGACGTACCGAATATTTACTTTAATAAAAACCTTGTAAAGTTAAATATCGTTTGTCAATTAACAATCGGGGATGCAGAAGGTTGTCCATATGCCGACAATCCCGGTAATTACGCGAACTTATCGAATAAAACTACCAAAAAATATGTATCTCTTTTTTATTGCAAGTTACAATGAAGAACACAAGTTTAAATTTATAACCAATCATATTATCTAGCAACACAGCGTCTTCTATAACCTGGCTAAACTGAAAACGTGAGAAGACCATAGCAGCAGATAAATTACGAAAAGACGAAAAAAATGGGCAATATTTATTTAAATATAGCAAATCTACAATACAAGCGAATCAGTATCGAAGCATCAGTTCGCGCAGGTCTCTTCGGATTACATCGATTGAGATATTGGTTTCTTTGTATGAATTTCTACATAATATATTATTGCACTTTCACCATACGATTTATGTCGTCAATGAATTATAAATATGCATCTGAGAAACGTTCAGTAACTTCCATAACGCACACGTACAAATTATTGCATAAAATTATCGATTTCAGTTATGTCAGCCACTTAAACCTACAATTATATAGACATAAATAAAAATAGTAGTCCGGCGTCACTATAGGAACGGAGCCAATGTTACAATGGGGTTAATCAATATACTTTTCATTGCGCACAAAACTGAACTAAAATGAATGACTAAATAAAATTATTACTACAAATACGACTAAAGTCCGTGTGCTGAACGTTGAAAGGCTTCATCTCCTAAGATGTACCTGTAACTAAATATCTATGTACCGTACGCCTATTGCTACAAACATGGGTTGCGTACGCTTGTGCTAATAATAAGTGCTACCAAACACAAAATTTAAAATGGCGATTCTATTTTAATATAACCAAAAGAGTGCCGAACATATCAGGATGAATTTTTAAATGATCAGAACTCTTGGACATAATTACTTTTCTCTGATTTTCTTGACATGAGTATATATATATTATAAGGTTAATTTATTTATATAGAATAACAAACGAGCACACAGACCACCTGATGGTCAGTAAACGCTGTGACCCATAGACATCTACATTTATTCTCGATAGAGAATCAAAACGCAAATGTGTTGTCACCCCTGAGTACTAAGATGGAATTCCTCGTTTCCAGTATAAAATGGTCTCCGGATCTCTACACTTACCATACGAACAGACAGCAGTATTAAACTGCTATTTGACGCTGGTATTCTGTGAGAGCGTTGTCCTTCTCCGGTCGAGCCGACCCATTCGTGCTACAACTATAATATAGCTTGCAGCGTGGCTCTACCACGTATGAAAATAGATGAAAATTGGAACTGTTGAGAGAAAAATAAACTACTTATGAGTTTCTTGCTGCTTTTTCTTACACGATCTCCCGCAGTTGGGATTTATTTAAGCAATGATGTCGTTGTTCGACTTTCAAAGTGCTCTGTAAAGGCCATTTTCAAATAAAAATATTTTGACTTGACTTGAAATATCACAACCTACAAATAATCAGCAACTATTTCAGCGCTCAGCACACTGCCGACTAGACGAAAACAGACACATCGATCACACCAACTTAGTATAGCCGGGAATCTCCTACGTTATTGGTAATTCATTACTTATGTAACAAAAGTATAATTACACCACACTCACGGAAATAACAAATAGAGAACGCACAGGACTTACGAAAATAAATGTATAACTGCGTCGCTATAATTAGACAAAGCGATATACAACTACTCAGTAAGTATCGAATAATTTTTTAAACTACGACATTTTACGGTATTGATGCAACGACCCTAACGTACTAAATACGCGGTTTTGTTCGAGCGCTACGAGTTGGAATGGACCGTCGATGCGAGGGACGCTACTGATAAAATAAAATCGAACTCTCGTCCCAAATAAAAAAATATAAATTACTCGTTAGAGGGTAGATATGAAAACAAAAAATAACTCACTACGGACGGGAACACAAACCTGAAAGCATCGCCGCCCACTCCCCGCCTACATACGACAGCAAAACAACTCCGTGTTTCTACATAACTTTGGTTTTACGTAATTTGATTATAAAGGCACGTGTAAACTCTATAATATAGAAAGAAAGTAACACAGCGAAGTTGACCGCCACTATTACTATATCTATTATTAAATAGCAGCGACAACACTCGTGAAAAAATTCTACATATTATGCTGACCATACCATTGTGTTGCTTCAATTGGAATATGATGTGATATTAGAATAGAATTGACATATTGTAGACATATGAGCACACGCAGAAGAATATCGAAGATTTGTTGGATAAATGTAATCCTGCCATTTTTTTTAACTCATATACATAGTGTACTACAAAATGAATCGCACTGGGTTGCAGCGTCTATAAAAAATATCAGTAAACGTCTATAAAATTAAGGCAAGCGCTTTTATTTAAAAGTTGTCCTTTTTTCAATTGCATTTCTATTATTTGGATATATTAAATTGCCTATTGAAAATTCCGTCGATTGAACTGGACATAATTCCACGTACAAAATTAACACAGCTCCTTAAAAACTATAACGTATGTAAGACATTGCCGTAATACGTATATGATCCGGAGGCACTAGACGAATACTGAAGCACCGAGTCTGCCACTGCTTTACCTCATGAATTTCAGGTGAGAACCACGAGTAGCGGTCCAGACGACAGCAGAGATACCAACCAAATAGCGATCTTATTTACAGGCTTCGAAGCCTTATATTGTTCTGTTCTAAATTAATGAGTGATTGAAAAATGGTCTCCCTATTATTGTAAAATATATACATAACAAAATCGATGGTAAAATTATCTTTATATAAGTTACAATGTCATAACCATTGTAGCTTATATTATAAAGATAATTGTTTGTGGCTTAAAACTTTGCTTCTAAATTTCTTGTTATTTATATAGATACATATATACGTTATTGCTAGTGAAGGTGCTCATAGCACATTCTTGCATATATACAAAGTACTTAAGAAATATTTGGATGAGCCTTTAATTTAACCACACATAAAAATCAAGACAAATAGCATTATACAAAATTTAATAGATAGCACTCACGCGATGTAACCTCATTAACAATTTTCAGTAACATTTTCAGAAGGATAGTTGCATACAAATGTGTTTAGTTCAATATGATTTCTAGCTGCTATTTGTTATATTTATTTAATAATTGCAGTCAATACTCATTAAAAGTACATATTACACTTGTTATTTTGAATTTTCTAAGCACGTTATCGTCCAAATACTGGTCAAAAATTCACACCATACCATACACTTCTGGTTGTATAAGAATCGCTTATTTACTACTGACAGAAAATGTTTTGAACAGTATGCAACTTGAAATAAAACAATTTTTAAAACATTATGGCTATCATCAGTATATATCTATGGATTTAAGGATAGGTGATATAATTTCTTAAAACATCTGTAATAATCAAGCCTTTAACATCAAATGGCAAATTTTTCATAGTTTACAAATTTTAAGACCTCCGAAACAGTGTCGATCAATTAAGTAAAGCTGTCAAAATTGATCATTCAGCTTTGACAGCTGTCAAAAAAGGAGTTTTACAAATACAGTAACTGATAATATGAAGACTTGAATCTGTTCAAATCGAGTACGTGGAATAGCTCTGTTTACTGCCGTCCGAAATAAGGTGCTGGGTATATATATTTATTTTAAATTTAATGTTTCTACCGTACTAAAAAATTAAATGTCTACATTCATTTGGAATAATCGTGTCAAGTATACAATTTGTAATATTGCGCACGAGTTTTGATTTGAGATTTAAATAAAAGCTGCCATAGCATTTCCAGTCGCATCCACTTTTTAATCTAAAACTAAATGACTCTCGTATTTTTACTAAAACCACAATCTTTTAATGGATTACGTTAGCTAAATGAACTGTTTTTCTATATAATAAATAAGAACATAAAGTGAGTATTTTACAATGATTTCTATAAAAATGATTACTATTAAACAAAATAACGTAGAAATGAATACACGTGGGTGATGTCCTCCAGCCTTAGTAATCTAACAACTGTGCATAAAATATTAAGTAGGCGCGTTAACACAGTACTCCCCTTAAATTCACTTGTAACCGATGTAACGGTTATATTGTAAGATTTGAAGTCGGCTTAGATGCAGTTTCGAATTTTAAGTATAATCATACCACACAACTCCAAAAGCAACAATGTGTATTTCAACAAATGTTAGCTTTAGGTTGGACCCGCGGTCGCAACGTGTATAATATGTACTGAAAGAAAACTGTCGTGGCGAAATAAATGACTATAAAATAATCCTTTAGAATGTTATATAAACAAAACAGTTAAAGCATACGTATAGTATACTTTATAATAATGTTCCAAATCGTACAAACAAACTTTTAATAACATCTTAATGACAAGAAAACATAACGAAAACGCCACTATAACACTCCATCTAGCATCTTCAAAGGCTTCGACAATTCTCTTTCAGCACAAAGTACACGTACAAATGCGCTTAGCTTGTTTCGGACGGCAGCGGTCCGCTGGGAACCAGGTGCGGCAGGGCTCCGCGTACAGCGCGCGTGCGGGGAGGGCGGTGCGTGCGTGGTCAGTGCGTGCGGGGGGCGGGGGCGCGGGGGGCAGGAGGGCGGGCGCGGGGGGTGTGGGCGGGCGCGGGTCACGTGGCACACACGCGTCACTTGCCCGCACGCGCCGCGCATTTCTTCTTTTTGCGCTTGAAGAAACAGCAGCATCTGGAATAAACGGATTGCCTACATGACGATTTACAGAGTCTGTTTGCGATTAGTTTCATTGTTGATACAGTAATCGATTTCATTCGAATTTCGCAATAATATACATAAAATATAATTTTAAAACAAAACGCAAAGAAAGACATGTTTAAAAATAATCTATAAAATGAAAATACCCTATCGGTGAATGGCGACAATGATGAACTTATACAAGGGTTTAAACTCCTTAACAATTTCGTTTTTTACTTTATTGTTAAAAAAAGTCAGGAATAAAAGATATTTATTTATATAATCCAAAGGTTGTTCAGTGAGCTATGGAGAGGGACTAAGCTCGGGGATGTACTTAAAAATAGGGATATCCGCAGTAGAACCAGAGTAACAGACATAGCCCAACGGATTTGTAGCTCAAAAAAACCACAACCAATGGGGAAGACAAGTTCTCAAGTGGCAGCCTCGTACCAGTACACGAAGTACGCCTACTAAATGAGAGACACCCTGGTAAGACATGAAGTAAGCCGATGCCATGTGTATGATTCAGGTCGTGCTTTGTGGCATTCCTTGCGGGAGGCCTATGTTCAGCAGTGGACTTGTTAAGGGCCGTAATAAAATAATAAATAATTGACCGGCTTACATCTTCGAACCATCGCAAACATCAACACTCACGCTGCGACAGATGAGTACGTGTCTTAAGGCATGGAACTATGGAGTGTAGAAGTAAGGATTACAGACTGTGTATTAAAAAGTGTCCGTAGAAAAGCGTTAAATAAGGGTGGCGCCACTATAGCTACGGGCTAAATTTTAAAAAACGTGCCGAAAAATATTAGTGGGATAGACGACTTTTTCGAGGTTATATTTACTAAATAAAATTATTTTAGATTTTAGAGCTACTGAGCAGTTTAGCAGCACACTTTAAACCGTTGACAACTACTAAGTTCATTCCATCCCAGTAGCTACTCGAGCGCTGTTGTGGAGTTTTTGAACTGTTATTTACTGCTTACAGATGGACACCTTTTTAACTATTCTACTATGAGAGTTGGTACTCCTTACTTCTACACTCCATACATGGAACCTTGATAGTACGGACCGTCAAGCGCAGCTAACAAGCATTTGTATAGAAATTGTAATACTGATAAGTCAAAAGTGTTTGTAATAAACATGGTTTTATTTTCGGGTTAAGACGGATCGTTAACAAAATTTAAAAAAAACCTTTTTAATTAATGAAATTACGAATGCATTTTAAGTTTTGTTGTTAACCAAAAAATACAACTATTCCACCAGTATTCACCACATAGTTAATACACTTTTCCATTCGCTCAAACCAGTTATTATATTAGTCTACTCCAAAGTGGGGGGGTGTTCAAAATAGCTGTTTTGTAAGCGTCGACTGCATCTTCACCGGACTGGAACTTTTGACCACGAAGATTTTTCTTAATTTTTCTTAATTTTGGGAAATGTAAAGAAATCGTTAGGGCTTAGATCAGAACTGTATGGAGGATGGTCAAGAATTCTACGTTTTCCTGCTTCAAATACTCAATCGTTTACCAGTGCTGCATGAGCTTGCGTTCATGGCGTAGGATGATGCGTCGCTTTGAGTTAGATTTCCGAAGTTCGGCGATAACTTGTGGTAAAGAAACTGTGGTATACCACTCTGCATTAACCGATCTACGAGTTTCCGCACTGAACGTGGCCATCATTTTCTTTGAAGTGCTTCGACAGTGAACAACTTTAATCGGCTCGTCTTGGAGGACCTAGATTGTAGACTGTTGTTTAGAATCAGATCAACAAGTTTCGTTACCACTGATAATGTCGTAGACGAGATTTGACTCTCCTCGGTTGAACTTTTGCAGAGTTTTCTTACACCATCTGACGCAGGTCACCTTATGATCGTCGGAAAGCAAATGCGAGATCCAAGCTTTCTCACACCAAGCTCTTCATGCAAGATCTTCTGTGAATGGTTGTCCCTGAGATGCCAAATAACGCCTCTATCTCTCGTGTCACGTGACGATCTTCGAGAATTAGTTTTCTCACAGCAATGATGTTTCTTCAGTAAAGGCGGATTTTGGACATCCTTCACAAGATTTGTCACTAAGATTAATATGTCCACGCTGGAATTCTAAATACCAGCGTCCGACAGTGCTCAGACATGGGGCTTCATCATGGAACACAGAAGTTAGCTCTTCGAAACACTGAATCCGTGTTAGAAAGTTGTAGAAAATTATTACACGGATATTTTCCTTATTAGGATTCATTTTCATACGTAACCTGACAAATTCAAAACGACCCTATGACAAAACAATAGCTTTAATCCTTTTACTTTTAATTATTTTGAGATTCTGACTTTAAAAAAATTGAATATTAAACAGTTCCAAATTGAAAATAGCCAGTAAATATGTAAACGACTGAACTTAAAAGGCATGCCTCGTATTTTATACATATTTACAGTGATGACTTTTGTAGACGATTAAAAATTCTAGCAACAATTTTTTCGCCATTGTTGTTGAGTTAATTTTATTAGACTATTTAAGAGTTTTAGAATTAATTTATTCGCCATTGTTCTTATCAGGATTCATTTTAGTAGACTATTTAAAAGCTTTAGCGTTAATTTTTATCAAAAATTCAAATCACAGACGATGTAGGATTATAAAATAAATAGGACAAAAATTAAAAAGTGATTGGCAACATAGAAGTTCTTATAACCTTAGGTTAAGAAATGACTGCAAACAAATCGTAAGGTCGTAAACTTCTATATTGCGTAGTCTTAAAGAAAAAATAAAAAGAAAAAAACGTCCATACAGTTGAAACACTGACTTGGTGTCGTCGACCACGTCCACCTCGTGGTGCGGTTGCGTGATAGGGGTATTGCTGTGACCCGCAGTGGGATCGTCTGCTCCCAGTTCACCATTCGTAGAACTCACCACCTGTTCGCAAAAGTTACAAGACCGGACTCAAAACGACAATTGACTTCTCTCTACTACTTTATTTATAGAAATTCACATTTATTTGCTAGCCGTTATAAGAAAATCGAATATTCTTAGTAAGAAAGTCTAATTTTTTTAAATATATTTTATCTGTATAAAGCAAGTTCAATAGACATACACAAGATTAATTTGGCGGGGAATGAAGGTGTCGGTAGTGCAGCTTTTATAACATATTAACGTATATAAATTAAATACGTAAATTGAATTTTCAAGGAGAACCAAATCGTTCATCACTTTTAAGTTTACGATAAGCAGACAACACATTACTGAAATAATCTGGTTTTGAAAAGATTTTGCCACGATCTATAATTACAGAAATATCACAATTACTTAAAATACGTACGTGTTTAAAAATACTAAAATCATCTACATCAAGTTTAAAATTTATTATATTCAATATCCCTAAATATAGTCCAAGATCCCACCAAAGGAGATGTCATGATAATCCATTCGAAAATATGTATTTGTTAGCTATCAATTTTTGAGTAGTTTTCATTAAATCGTATTACTAATACAATAACTTGAGAACAATAGTCCTGACGCATACGAAAAAGGCTTCCAATTGTGTGTAGCTAATCATTCAGATGCGCGGTCGCCCCTGAGGACTAAAATGGAATACCTCATTTCTAGAAAAAAGGGACTTTGGTTCTCTTAATTTTACGCTGCTGTTTCACGCTGGTATTCTGTGAGAGCGTGGTCTTTCCCGGTCGAGCCGACCTATTAATGCTGCAAACGTATTAAAGCTGCAATATTGCTCTGCCACGATGAAGCCCCGACTTGTAGAACTAATCATAGCTGGTGCGATAAAGTTTAAGCGTGGTTGTAGTAATCTCGCGTAATGATCTACGTGAGAGATGTCCTTGAACACAACAAGTGAACATAACGTCTGTGATGTTTTGACACAATTGAAACTGATAAGAAAGAAACATTCTAATAATTCAGACAAGCTTGGGCATTTGTATTAGTCAAGTATATACAAAAAAACTTACAATGAACACTATGGCGCCAAGAAGCTTGGTACTATATTGATAGATACCCCATAACTAGACAGAGACTCAAAAACGCGGATATGGATCGATCACGCGCAAACGCTAGGAAAGCACAATGGAATCACAGATAATGAAAGCTACATATATTGTTACGAATTCTAAGCCGAAATGCAATTTACAGCGAGTGTTTCCTTTTCAGGATTTGAAAACAAAAGGTGAAGAAAGGAGGAATCAAGAAAAAAGATGATTGCACAGTTCTTAAAAAGGACACTGAACCTTAGGACACGGCTTTTATGATGATAAACCGATATATTGACTATTGTCAACCAGTAGCGAAGCCTCCATAGAAGCCGAAAATCTTGGCTTGCCCTATCAAACTACTCAATTAATAATATCAACTAATAAAATAACTCGTAAACTGTTTCAAACGATTTCAAATTTCCCGCGCGCGGCTCTGTTTTACACAGGTCATGACCTCGTGACCTTAGCGATACGGCTATTTGCTATTGAGTTGAGCGATTAGTCACCTCTCGCGCACGCGTGGGCTTTTTACCGGGCTTTCGAGAAGACGATCGCTCCCTTTCTAACCTGTGGCAAAATGTTCTAAAATGAAATACAACGACGAAATATCTATATAGCAATTAGTATGGAGCAAAAAGTCGGGCTTTTAAAGATTTTTAGGGAAAATAGAGGATAATAGTGTTGCTTGTGATGAATTGAAGTGTGTTAAAGTGCTAATCAGCGAGGAAAAGGTAAAATCTTGTAACATTGTTGAGAAAATACACAAGGTCAAGAGCGTCTTTCAGACTTCTCAATTATCGCAATTGAAAAACAGTTATTGGTACAACTTTCACCAACATTTTACGCGGACGTAACCAAATCTTTCCTTATGAAAGAGAGACGATTCGACTTAGAAACAGAATATAAATATGTAAATTGTTTTTTTTTTTAATTTGTACATTGTCTGTACTTTGTTAACGCTTTCTTTTGTTCATGTATTGTATGTAAATATCTTTTTTTTCGCTCTAGCAAACCCAAACGGTTTTTTCAAAGCCACCGAAGTTATGCAATTGCTGATATGTCATACAATCTATCTAGCAGTAGTATGCTTTCTGTGTGCTTTGTTAAACACGTCCTCGACAGCACCGAATATGAAACTGAAGACTGGAGACAGATCAAGATTGGTGTATTTTTATAAAACTGCTAAAAGCAACAAAACCATATCTTTGGCTTGCCCTAGTTTGAAGCCCTAGCTTCGCCACTGTTGTCAGCCCCCTCGAAGAGAGATACTCCTTTACCATGAAAACGCTTTCTCCTTTAGTCGAACAGTCAAGTATTTGACTACAGCACAGTTAATGAATAACCCGCCATTACGTCTCGACCTGGTATATCTGACACAAGAATCAAGTGTTCCTATAATATAATATTCATAATCAATTATGATTTGGTCCAATTACAGCTAAACAGCCGTGGTAGCTCAGATGGTTAGCGCTCGCCGTAAATTTCATAGTACGCGAGCAAACCGGGTTCGATCCCCGCCGGCACCAATGAAATGAGGAAACCTGCATGTCAGTGAAATAAAAAAAATATTTCGAAGACATGTGAAGTTCGCCAACACGCATTGGGGCAGCGCGGCGGACAATTTCTTGCCTTAAAACCCTCTCAGAAATGAGCGCGGAGGCCTGTGCCCAGCAGTGGGACGTATATAGGCTGTAACTTTACTTTTACTTTTTTACAGCTAAACACTACAAACTCTTTACTAGCTCCCCGCGCTTCCTCCCTTAGCCTTCAATCTATTGTAGGCATTACACATTAATCGCAACATCCAAGGACGAAGAAATAACTAATTACTGGCATACAGATAATACCACGCTTCGCACGTACGTATTTTAAATACACGCCAATGATGCACAACGAATGCAGTTTCTCAGAGAAGACTTGAAGCAATTACCAAAAATTGAGCTTAATGAATCGCAATAAAATTAACTATTTTAGGAAAGAGCAAGGTACTAAACTATTCTTCGTCGCCGGATTACGATGGTTAACAATGCTAATAGAAAATTGAAGAAGAGTTGTAACAAATAATACTCAAGAGAACAGTCGTTTTCATTTTCATTTTCCTAACACAAATAGCATATAGCTTTTGATATGTGACTTCGCGTGTGTTTAACATAGATAGAATTAGTATAAGAAAACCCGTTATCCAGCAGCTGAACAAAAAATCTATCAAAAACTCTTCCATAATATTTGGCTTATTTAACTTCATTGTGTAGTTCTTTTCCTCACCTGTTTAGTCACCTCTGAGGGCTAAGATGGAATGCCTCGTTTCCGGTGATAATTGTATCACCCGGTTCTCTACACTCACCATACGAAACACCACAGAAATAAGTTATTATTTTACGCTGGTATACTTTCCCGGTCGAGCCGACCCATTCGTGCTGCAACCATAATATAACTGTAGCATTGTCACCGAGAACAAAGTTATAATGCGTCTTAAACTGTTAAATGTATGTATCATTTACTTTATAAAAATTTTACAATACCCTTGATGGAAGTGGCTACTGGAGCCCATGGACACCTTCAACCAGCTTCAAATAAAGAAAGCTACAGATGCGATGTCACCTCTGAAGACTAAGATGTACTGCCTCTCAGCCTGTAAGTATACTAGCTCTCTATACCCTTAAGACTGAAACACAGCAGCTTCCAGTGCATTGATACTTGGCGGCAGAAATAGATCAAAAGACCCATCCAAACGGACTCCAAGGCTGAAACGAAGCCTCGGAGTCACTACCTAGTAAATATAACAAAAAATTAAAAATCAAATTATGCAGTGTGTGAGCAGTCTAATATTATCACACAAATAAAATGACTCACATATACTCAGACTGATATTAAGTCATCAACAGTTACAGTATCAGTTAAAGAAAATGATCGATTAATCGGTAAATCACTCACTCGTACTACCGACAGTAATATCGATACGATCAATATCTCGATCGATAGTTTGTTTAGTGTTTAGAATGTTTTTTACCACAATATTAGTAAATACTTTTTGCCCAGTTCAAGATACTATCGATAGTATCTGGTTTAATAATTAATGCAATGCTATAAGGGGTAAGCAGTGTTTAATAAGAATTCATGAAAATAAGGGTGAATTTAATATAAACGAACAATGCCCAAGGTATGCGCAAATTTATATATACGTCTTTATTACTCAAAAAAATCATAAGCACACACAATTTGCCACAAGCACACTGCATCACACGCAAAAAAATGTAAGCGTAAACTTACAACTTAATTCCTTCTTTTACATAATGCATTATTTAATCGACGGTAAAGTCCTAATATATAACAGATTAATAAAAAATAACAAATCACTTGTTTAATGATTTCTTAAATTTACGCGAACACTACACATTGAATAAAACTATTATTTACGGATTTTATCGCGTTTAATTACTTTAATTTATTTTTATTATTATCCCGACATTGGGACGTCAAACATCTCAGTCCCCCCCCGTGACCATGGGCGCTGGAAAGCACACGAAACGTCGGGATAATAATAAAAATAAATTAAAGTAATTAAACGCGATAAAATCCGTAAATAATAGTTTTATTCAAAATCACTTGTTGAATTAAAAATCAGATTTAGATTTTATGATACCTAATACGGTAAATGTGACAAAATGTACTAAGATACGAGGATGTAGCGTGCAGTTTTAAATTAGACGATCTCTTACCAAACAAATTTAATACCGATCGAAAGTATTAATCATAGGAAAACTTCGGTTTTCTATCTTTTTCTATTTATATTACCGCGTCGTATTGCTTTCTCATTAAAATATATACTAACAAAAATAAAATAAAGATAATTTTATTGCAAGCACGGTAGTATAAGGTTGCTTTTGAAAAATCATTCATGAATTGTGGTTGGCAGGCTATGCCATTGAAAAATAAGAGCAAGAAAAGACGTGCAACAGAAAAGCAACTGTCATTAAAAAGAATGTCCATGCTGTTTCAACGTACGTTTGAAAAAGAAACACTACTATACTATCTATCCTAATTATAATAGCTGTTGGTCTTCCAAAAAAAAAAATAAATAAATAAATAAAAATAAAAAAAAATACTACCGATACTTGCTTTGACTACCTTTATATTTGGAAGTACATGTTTTGTATTGTTACGTTCGTTACTTTTATCAGATAACAAATAGTTATAAAAATGTTTTATAGATTTTTGTGTAACTTAGATTTTGTAAATAAGAAAAGAAAAACAAAAACTTTAAATAAATTGAAGTTCAGTTAAGGCAATGAGTTACTTAATTTTGTTTGTTATCTCTCGTATTTATGTTGTTAAAAAAGTGACCTTTTTAAACAAAATAATGAAGCAAGATTTTCAAGAATGTAATGATATGATTTAAACGAAACCCAACCTTGAATATTTGTCATCTAATTAAAGTGGGACGCCTTGTTGCCAGGAAAGGGGTCTTCGATTCTCGCACTCATTATACTAAAAACATAGCAGCATATACAGCGGTTTTACGCTGATATTAATGAGAGTATGGTCCCCAGGTCAAGCCGACTAATAACACGTACTGCAACTGTAATACCAGTTGAAACATGGCTCTGAAATCTAGTCATGTTTGAATCTTATTAAATCTCAAATAATAAAAAAATACCTGCAAAATTCTGAGTTGCTTAAATCCCAAAAAAAATATGTATCTATTCATTCAAAATTCGACTGAATGCGTCTTTAGTTTGAGGCGCAAAATATAATTCAGTTAAGGAAAACCATCCAAATAGGATATGCTTATATGTGTATTTGTTGTAATGCTGATGTAGTGTACCATAAAACAATTTTTTTTCACAGCCCACCCGATGGTAATTGGACGCTGTAGCCCATAGACATCTACATCTATCTCCCAATAAGAATCAAAATGGAGATGCGTTGTCACTTGTCACCCCTGAGGAGTAAGATGGAACGCCTTACTCACCATACGAAATAGCAGCATTGAGCTGCTATTTTAAGTTGGTATTCTGAAAGCGTGGTCCCTCCTCGTTCGAGCCGATCCATTCATACTACAATCAAAATATAGCTGCAAAATGGATATATCACGTATGAAATTAATGCAAAGATCCTAACAAATTAGATTTATATACTTTGCGTGTAACAGAAAAGCTTACGATTGATACACGATATTCGGTTTTGAACTATTGTAGCTCAGGGCCAAATTACTGGAGCAACTCAAGTTCGAATTACGTCGGTACCACTACAATTGTAAGTGTTCAATAACACCCACAACTTTAAAAAAAAATTAAATTAAGTATAATTCGAGGACTTATGCTATCCTAAGTGGATTTCGCAATAACTTCGACTCTTTTCTTCTACTTGCAATTTTTTTTACCTTATTCGATCAAAAAAACTCTGACACTTACTGTGACACATCAGGACGTAATACGCAATTTGTTTGTATAATATATAACATAATTTATATATTATCAATTGTTTTAAGATTATTTGAAACAGAATTTATTAATTATTAATTTATTGCGAAACCCTAAAAATTAAAAAGATAACCTTGAATATTAGAATAAAGACTGCGGCAGTAGGCATCGACAAATTTGGAGCTTCAACAGTATTCAATGAACTGCGGGTGTGCAGGTGAATGCGATTAAGGAAAGCATCAAGCGGCATGCAGACAGCCACAACAAGGATTGTCGCAAAATGTTCACAACTGACCGTGGACACAGATCCGGGAAATTTCACATACCGAAAATGCTTATTCTTCAATAGCTAAAAAATAAATACACCAAAATGTACATTCACGGGTAAAAGAAAATTCATTGCGAAGATAAAATAAAACTTTATAATAATAAGAGTAAACATGCAAAAACACATAAATTAATTTGCAAATCTGTACTGTTCGTGTTTTTAATGTTCTTTTATAATCTGCCAGTATATGTAGTGAATTTAAAATTGACGATAAGTTACAGTTATACTTAAAATGTGTCACGGATAGGTAATTTCTATTAATGTACCGAAATAGACAAGTGATTTTAAAATGATAAATTCTTAAAAGTATTGGAAATGTAAAGCAAGATAAGAGTTACACGGTCCTCACCTGAACAGATCCGTGCCTATCGGCGGGCGTCAGATGTCCTGTAGTCAAGGGCGTAGCTTTACCGCTGTGGGGCCAATTGCCGCCCGTGTTCGCCGTTCCACCCGTACCAGTGTCTTTTACAGCCCCCTGCAACGAAGCGAATTAAGAATATCTGTAATAAAAGTGGCAGTAGCACATAAGGCATGCAATAAAACAACTTTACACACTTAGCTGACGCATTAGCTTATAGAAACCAAAACAGTGAAATATTAACATGTTCTGGACGACCAAAATTATATGGAGCAATGCATAATCAAATAAAATTCAAAACAAATACACGAATTCATTAAAAATTATGTCTGTCTCTTTAGGTCAAAAAATTATAAATCTAATAACAAATATGAAGTTCATAACACGCCACACAGTGGAAAACTTAAAAGATGTGTGATTTAAACATTTGTACCTATGGCATTTTTAATAAGTTCATTAAAGAATACACACGTACATATGATGTAACATAAATGCTGTTAACAAAACTAGCTACTATGTGAAATTTTAAGTAGCACTCGTTTCAAATCACATTATACCTAGCCTTTGTTTTTTGATCGCACACCTGTACATATACTACCTATATGTAGCAACCATCGTTTGAAAATTTATTCAAAATAAAGAACACACATCGAATTCAAGCAGATGATGAACCTAGCGATGAAATCAGTGAACGATGGTAGTCGTCAAAATTGTAAGGCGTCGTCCTAAACACGCACGCATCGCGCCCGTCCATTCTCTGCATTTGAATTCTTTGTATGAAGTTCTACGCAATCTCGTACACTTATTTGAGCCGCGCTCGCCATAGGCAGGCCTCCGTCACTCGCTATAGGCCACGCATTATATGCCTATCGCTCTGCGTATCGCCCACGATACAATCGACATTGGGTTGGGCCGCCGCACGCCCGCCTGAGCGCTTGCACCGCGCACGTTTCTCGCGCTTACTTGTCGAAATGCCGAAACCACGTAATTTTTGTGTAGTGGACGGGTGTCAAAGTCAAAAAATAAATGAAAAATAGTCTTTTGCGTTGACTTATGTATCAGGGTATTTATTATATAAGTGTAGCAAAAAAGAAATAACCACCAGCTTCAATGCTTTGTTACAGGAGAAACCTAATGTTAACGAACACTGTATACTCATTTCAAAGCCTATAACAAAGATTCATCTTTTTATGATAGGCTAAAAGTCCCACCAGAAGACGTTTAATAATTATATTGAAGAATTAGAAAGAGCATTCTTAAATCATTTTGACAACGTCATAATGAATCGGCCTGGCAGCACCGTGTTCGTAGACAGAGAGACCTATAGACAAATTGACGCCTTCTTTCGCATTCGCACACGAAAAAGATAGATTTATGCATACGTCTTGCATAGAAATGAGACAGAGCAGTGTGATTGTTTGTCCCTTTCTCCGTGCCGGTTTTTCAAACTACACTTTTTTAAACAAGTTTGACAGTTCGTAGCGACCTAAGGAGTTTACAAGTTTATTTAAGTGAGGAAAAAAAGTGTTTTGTGAGCTTAAGATTGGTGAATCTTGTTCAGTTCAGTTCTTAGAACAAATAAAAATTTTATCTAAATATAATTAAAAGTCATAAAGATTATTGTAAAACCTAAAACTACGTTATCATCCTTTACCACTCGAGGCCATGCTAATCATTAGTCTATATGTTTCTCTGATGATTTTCCTCCGCTTTGCTCCTGTTTTCCTCATGATTATTTATTAAAATTATTTTGCGATTTAGGATATTTTCAACGATAAAATTTAATAATCGATAATTCAGAGAAGGGAAAAAATTTATAAATCATTTTATAAAACTCAAACATATTTGATTGATAAATAAGAAATATGGTTATTTCGCAATATTCGTTTTATTACAATAATCAACATAGGTACAACTACGCTGTACGCAGTAGTATGATAAGTCTATGGGTACAACGGTACAACCCTACCCCTAGCGCATTCGTACGATGATGCGCTTGCACGTGAGTCTCACGGCGGACAACACTATCTCGACTCGTACATTTTCTTCTCGAGCGAGCAGATATAATTATTAACATTTTTTAGGCTATTATAGCGTAAGTATTTTCGCTTTTGTATGGGAGTGATGTATCTGTTAGTAAACTATTTAGTAATCTGTGCCAGTCCACATCAGACGCAGCAGGCAGTAGTAGAAAATATAATCATTTGAACAAATTCGGCTCATTAATTAAAAGACGTTTCATAAAAATTACACAATTTGGCATATTTGGGAATATTCAACTATTCTTTATAATTTTGTAAAAATAATCGAATACTTGTTTTTAGAGTTATATCGGTTTAATGTAAAATCTAGAAATAAAATAATATATAGAAACTTTATATGGGGGGGCCCGGTTCTGTGTTTTTTGGGGGGGGGGAAACGGGGCTTTTTTTTTTATGTCCCCTTCTTAACCTTCGGCGTTTCTTTTTTGTGTGTGGGGGGGTTGGTTTGGGGGAACCACCTACGGGGGGGGGGTGTGGTTTGCGCTAGTGTCCAACACAGACATTACGATGTTTGTGGTGTCGAGATTGCGCCATAAATCAATAAAAAATAATAAATCAAGATATCAGTCACCAGTTCTTACGTTGTAAAGCCATAGTGCAGCTAATTAGCAGTACAGTTGTAGCAAGATTAAGTCGACACAACCGGAGAAGGACTACGTTCTCACAGAATACAAGCGTAAAATAGCAGCTTCACGCTGCTGTGTTTCGTATGGTGAGTGTAGAGAGCCGGAGACTTAGTCCTCAAGGGTGAAAACGCATTTGCATTTTGATTCGTACTCGTGGATAGATGTAGATGTCTATGGGCCACAGCAACCACTAACCATCAGGCGCACTGAGTGCTCGTGTGTCACCTTTTTGCTATAAAAAAAAACGGATATAGTGACAAAAGAAAAGGACGCGTACGATGAGAACATCAGCAAATTCGATGACTGAAACGTGTGCGGTTCGGTTCAGTTCCTTGCATTCACCCTACTAGAATGCGATTGAGCGATTTTAACTGGTTGCGCGAACTTTATTCACCTGACATCAAACATATTGATTTCAATTAGAACACCTAACATATACTATTACCGCCTATTTGATATTTGCACGATTGTGTCGCGCGACCAATGTTTCTTAGTATTCACACGAACTTAGTTCGACAATCGCGCGGTGATAATCGAGCTAGCACAATCGCGTTATATATTCGCGATATTATTAGTCCAAGAGGAATCGTACCGAAATCTTTTGCATCACAATTTGTTTATGCGGATCTCTTCAAATTGTCCTACTGATAATATAAATATATGTTGCCATGGGGCAACTCGGTAATATAAAAAAAACTTTTATATATATATATATATATATATATATATATATATATATATATATATTTGATCAAACATGAATACAAAAGTTCCTATAACTTTTTAAAATAAAGTAAATAATTTCAGAGTTATGAATTTTTAAAGGTTTGAAAAATCCCGAATACGAATACTTTTGACTTGTATATAAAAAAAATGTATAAAAAATGAATTATTTTTATTCTCGCTTTAAGGGTACTGTTAACTATTGTCTAAATAAAATAAAAAAAATATCTTTTATATTGGATTCTTTTTCTTTTTATATCTTTAATGGGTCAAAAGTATCCAAATTCGGGATCTTCAAACCTTTAAAAATTCACAATTCCGAAAATATTAACTACATTATCGTAAAAAGTTATAGTATCTTTTTTATTCGTATTTCATCAAAGAATATAAAAAATTGTCTTGTTTAAAAATAACAATTCCTAGCAATTGAAAAAAATATCGGTTTAAACAATATGGCGCCGAGTTGCCCCATGGCAGGCAACATGCATTTATATATTCAGTAGGATAATTTGAAGAGAATCGCATAAAAATTGAGGTGGAATAGTTTTCGGTACTCATGCGCCGGTTCTTCTTGGACTACATAGCGTAATAACATTCTTTTGTACATCCCATTCTTGTCATCACCTGAACGTTCGATGATTGCATCGTTTAATTCGCGCGACACGCGTAATCGCGCGTTTTATTAGGACGACCTCTTACACGGAGCAAATTGTTAATATATCAAGAAATCTGATCATTATAACTCAATTTTACGTTATTGAGTGTCAAACGTTTATTTTAATATGTAAGAAATCTATAATTACGGCATTTAAAACAATTTAAATTCATAGTTTTATGCGAACTGATATTCTCCTGTTTGATTTTCTATCGTGGCGATAACTTCCAAATAATTGGAAGTTTGCATTGCACTGGAGTTATGTGTATGCGCTAACGAGAGGCACTTGTCCTGACCAACCAGTGCCAGGTGTAATGCTATGTTGCAGTTTCAACTTTTTACGTGGTAACGTCACGCTGCTGCGATATTATGGATGTAGCACGAATGGATCGGCTGATCGATGACGGACCACATTTTCACAGTACACTAGTACGCAAAATAGTAAGAACCGGAGACCCTTTTTTACTGTCAACGTAGCATTCCATCATGGTCCTCAGGGGTGCCAAAGCGTTTGCAATTTGATTCTTAACTGTCGATAGATGTAAAGTATCTATGGGCCACCGCATCCACTCACCATCAAGTCAACTTCGTGCTCGTTTGTCACCCTTATTCTAAAAGAAAACATGCTGATAACAACCAGAACCGAAAACCATAAGGCCCAAATCCCCCCCCCCCCATCAACATGGTAGCGGAATTAAATAATGTTCGACTACCCCAGGAGGGTACCAGCACCCCTGGAGAATCCCTCGCTGAGCATCCACGACCATGTTTCTCCACTTCTGAGCGTGGGTGCTCAGGCTGCCCCGCGTATTCTGGGGGGGGGGGGGGGGCAAAATTCCGCTCAAGACTACAACTGCTCGGGGCAAACGGAGCAACAAGACCAAGGCGACCCCTGCCACGCTGTCCGTGAATTTCTGCAATATCAGGGGACTTCACTCTAACCTAAACGCCGTCCACTACCATCTCGAGACGGCGAGGCCGGCTCTGCTCTTTCTGACCGAGACGCAGGTGTCCTCTCCGGCTGATGTCTCGTATCTCTCCTACCCGGGGTACAAACTGGAACACTCCTTT